TGGTCATTGTGTTATAACAGAGCTTTATGAGATCGCGATGAACTGAGATGTCAGCTTTTAGTGGTAATAAAGGAAGCGCTGATCACATTCTGCCATGCCAAACCATGCACGCAGCAGCCCATGCTTTCTTTTCTGTTAAAAATAACAGTGGTTTATGAATGTTGATGCTTAGCCTAAATACCAAATATTTTATCGGGAGTCTTTATGCTGGGATGTTGTGGAGCTTAGGAGATGTTACAGAACCATTTCATGTAAATTTCTTAGATGTACTGAAAAAAATCTATATAGATTACTTTTATGCGGGCTTTTGCGGGCGGGAGCAGGACAAAACAAGAATGTCGCGGGCGGGAGTGGGACCAGATAAGATATTTTTCTGCGGGAGCGGGCGGGCGCGGGACAGAATCTTGGGGGAGCGGGACTGGGACTGAAAAATCCGTCCCGCGCAGGTCTCTAATGTCAAGTTTAGGTCAAAACATCCCAGCAGATTGATAGCAAAAATGCAATAGAAATGCAAAATGAGTTGGATGGGATCTAGTGAGTCACTTGACCTTAAACGTCATCATCTTCAGACAGGCTTGCTACACACCCGTGGAGCCAAATTCTCAGGGTCTGTGTTTATATATGCTCTGGTTAGGAGCATCTTGACAGGAAATTGAGTTCGCCCTCCCTAATAATGGGAGGAAAAATTATTAGTCTGTCAGTTTGATCATTAGACCCCTAAAGACTTAAGTATTCAGAAAATTTGATCACTTGCCATCACACACAAGTCTTCTTCATGTCCAATGGAAGATCTGTTCAGAGCACCCAGCAACATTTTGAAGCAAATATGTTGACTTAATTTTACCCTCACTCATATTTTCCGGAATCCCTAAAGGACTATTTTGGGAGAGAGACGTTGAAGTCTGTGATAAATGACCACCTAAGATTAGGATGTTGGAGAAATGTGTTACAAATTTTATCCTGTTGCCTTGGAGAACTTCTTTATTTGTGGCTGTAAGTCAAAGTCTTTTCTGGTCAGCCACAGATCTTCATGATGGATCATTAATTTTGGGCCTGATCTCAGCGTTAGCCGACTAGACACAGAGGAAATCCCAGCAGTCTTATCGCTTGCTTGAGTTGGACACGCACACGCCAAAGAGCCAAGGGCCAGCGGTCAGTGTGATTTGAGTGGCTTCTGCAGGCTCTTTCTCTAAAGCTGTGGAAAGAACAGGGGTTGTGCTTCGCCTCAAGTTCAGTTTTGATAAAGAGTTTCAGGATAAGACATCAAAGTGTCTAAATTTGGGTCAGGGTTTTCCAGTTCAGAACTGGTCTATTATCCATAAAGTGTACATCGAAGATACCATCCACTTGTGCGTTAATTAGAAATAGTTTTCCTGGATCGTGATATCCGTGCATTCGAGGGTTTCTTATCTAATTTCATCCTGTTAAGTAAGCACTTTGGTAGTTCCCCGTTTTAATGAGATGAAAGGAAGCCTTGTAATTAGGTCCTGTGTCTCTTAACAAGATGAAGCGCAGGTGAATTGCCCCTATTAATCTGAATATTTGAGTTGAAGTGTTCTGGAACAGTGTTGTAAATACAACTTAACCACTGATTTCTAGTCGTGTCCATTTTTGGAAGGCCAAACAAAGTATAACCCTCTACATTGCGAGTAAATCACTCGCATATGCGACTAAATCTTCACTCTGGGCGACTAAATGATGTCTAATATTAGCCAATTGCTAATAAATTCTCAGATTTTACCAGTGCGTGAGTTGGAGGCTAAGTATAAATTTAGCTCAGATATATTTTCACTCGCCGAACACTCTGACTGAGCGCATCAGTTTCACTCTCCGTCAAGCGATCTGTGCTGTTTTTCAGTTCATCTCAATGGATGTGAGACGCACCTGTATTTAACATACCGTAAACTCTAGTGTGAAGGCGCACGACTCGCCTTCGCTTTTTCACACACACGCAACGAGAGAGGGAGAGAGAGAATTGACGCACTACCTATGCACGCTACATGAAAACGATATTCTTTGTTGTATTTTGCTGTCAAAATAACGGAGTTCCTTTGGAATTCTTCAGCTTTTAAGAACTACCTCAGTTCGAGCGAACGCACACAACCTGATTAATATTCATGAATCCAGTAGCTCATTAATCCTTGGTGCGTTTTATATTGTTCTTATTAGTAGAATTCGTATCATTATTATCTTATCAGTATTTTTGTTAGTTTTTCCCCAATTTTTTAATTTTTTTTTACAGAATCACTGTATGACCAAAAAAGCGATGTCTGTCGGCCCAACTTACAGTGAACAGTTCTTAAAAGAACCATTTTGTCTTAATCTAAAGAACTTATTTCCACTATAAAGGAAGCTTTTAACAATCCAGTAGAAACACTCTTACAAAATAAATTTTCTTTATTTGGCATTGATGGTTCCATGAACAACCTTTAACATCCATGGAACGTTTTCATTCAACAAAAGGTTCTTTATATAGTAAAAAAAAAGGCTCTTTAGATTAATGAAATATTGTTTATAGTAGGAAAAATGGTTCCTTTAAGAACTGTTCACTGAAAAGTTATTTTGGAAACCAAAATTGGTTCTTCTACGGTTTCACTGTGAAAACCAGTATCGGGGCATTTTAACGAGTACGAGTACAGGAGACCAGTATCGGGCTATCGGTGCATCCCTAGTTAAAGGTTATTCATGGAACCACAGATGCAGATAAAGAACCTTCATTTTTAAAAGTGCATGATATTCTGGTCCTCGCTATGGCTGAGGTCTAATAAAAGTAACAGTGCTCCTCTACTCAACAAGCCACACTATTGGAGCCATTATTATTAATGTCTGTAGCACAAACAGTGATGGATGATTAATTATGTCAAAGCTCAAACCCCTAACCCCAAGTAAATACAATAGTAATAGTGATGTATGCCATCAAACATGACTAATAAAGTTACCTAAGAGAGATCTCTGTGATCACCCTGAATGTTGCGGCTTGTTTTCGTTTACCAGTGTCAGGTGTTACTGGGGCAGTTTAATTTCATCTAACAGCAGTTATTGTTGTGAAACCTTGATGTACTCTGTAACATGTTGAATTGTTATTGACTCTACTTGCGAAAGCATCAATCACCTCCAAAAGCGAGTGATGCATGTCAGATCCCCTTTTTAACCTGTCATGAGTGGGGTTGAAACCTAAAGTGGTCTCACTGCAGGCACAGTGAAGGGTAATCATTGAAATTCCACTGACGTTCAGAGTGAATTTCTGCCGTTGTAATGATTTCAGCTGCCCTAGAGACATCTGCTACCATATATTAACACAAATGAGCAAAAAAACAAAGAAATTGTGTGCATGTGCGCGCGTGTTTGTGAGTGAGTGACGTTCTACAATGATAACAACATATTATTGTGCAGATGGTGCTTGTTTTCTGTGTCTCAAAATGTATTCCTTGTGTGAAAATAATCAGTGATTGCCATAAGACAACAATTCCATCATGATGACTTTTTGTGAGTTGAGCTCGCCGTGTCTAATTTTATTGTTCAGGTCGACCTATATTACATACAGTTGGACATGGATATGATCAGACGAGTGAAATTTTTTTTGGGGGGCGGCATAAAATTAAAATTACTGGTACCATAATGAAGAAAAAAGCCTAATTAAAATAATACAATTCTTTAAAAATAATTTTATTAAGTAGTAGTTTTATTATATATATATTATAGTTTTTTATCATTATTTCTTAGTAAAAAAAAATATATATATATATTGTTTTAACCAAAATGCTTAGTAATATTTGAAATGTTTTGTCTGCTAAAATCAAGGTCAAGTGATGCAACCAACATGCAGAAAAAAACAGGAAATAATATCATCAAATGTGTCCAAAAATGAGTGTGTGTCAAGATCAATGCGTCTTTAAAATAATTTGATCTTTTTTTTTTTAACATGGCAAGTTTAGTTCTGCCTGTAAAATATCTTTATGCATTTAATTTATGAACAAAAAATGTTTAAAAAATATTTTTTATTTTGTAAAATATATTTAAAACAATAAAATATCGATTAAGATGTATTCAAGGTTTAAGGAAAATACAATTGTACTTTTAACTTGATGGCAATATTACCTGACATTTTTTGAGCTATTAATTGTAAACATTTCTTGAACGTTTTTCAAAAACGACAATACGAAACCAACATGAATATAAATAGCACATTTCTAAGAACTTGGCAGGTTTAAATTTAAATTCTTTATTTTGGACATTCTTATTTATTATTGACACGTGTATTTTTGTTTGTCTCTTCCTTTAGCTGCATGACAGATATGGTTCCAGACCAAGGTGTGTACTTTACCAATGAATCTATACTGCAGAATGGATTGTCTGCTAAGGGAGTGTGCTGTTGCAGTTTCCGCGTCAATGTGTTTATATGCGCATGTGTGTGTGTCCTAGGGCTGCACAATAAATCAACAACGCAAAACCACGTTCATATTCGCGCGATTTTTTGCGCAGCTCGTCAGTGAACAACGGCTCTGTGTAGTTAATGCTGCTCAGTGTGAAAGCACGCACGTGATGGAGATTTACCGCTGATTACAGAACCGGCTTTCTGACAAGATGCGCATTAAATATCGCATGCGATTTATCGTGCAGCCCTATTGTGTCACCTCACCCGTGAAAAAAAACCTAATGCAGAAAAGTAGATTATGTGCTCAGGGTGTGAGATTGGCTTGGCATTATACAAGTAAGACTCTCCCAAGAATGAATTGGTTTTAGCAAAGCTGTTGTTGTGTCATTTCCAAGAAAAGCTGCCACCACAATCTGTGAGTCACTGAGTTGCTGACAAATGAGTGTTGTCGGTGAACGCTGACCTGTTGGGTTTACTCATTGCAGGATCTGTGAATCTAACCACACTTGCTGGGGCAACAAATGAAGGAGGAAAACTCCAGCTTTTGTTGTTTAGAGGATGTGTGTGGGTGTTTAGATAGTGTGTAGGTCTGGCACCTGTTGACCTATTTTCAATATGGTTTTAATCATAAAGGTTATATTTTATTTTTGCTAAGGTACTTAATATGAGTCAACATCATTTCATTTGTTGCCCACATGGTTTCATCTCAAAGGCAGGTACATTACATCATTCTTTGGCAAAGAAACTTTGATGTCACATATCCTAGTTTAAATGCAGAACAGCATGCACATCGGCGGCGATAGCCTCGTGGTTAGTGCACCTGTGCAACTGTGCTCGCGGCGACCCGAGATCGAATCCTGTCTAGTGGTCCTTTACCGATCCCGCTCCCCTCTCTCTGTCCCAATAAAGGCATAAAAAGCCCATATATATATACTCCATATATATATATATATATATATATATATATATACCTGTGAGTCATATGAGTATATATATATATAAATATAGCATGCACAACTTTGAGAAGCTCAGGGGCCACAAAGCAGGATCTCTTCAGCCACACTCTTAATTTTCTTATAGTAATTCATAGGGGTGCACTAATATAAAAAAAAAAGTCTTGACCATACAGATAAGGTGATAATTATTTAACCAATATATAATATGATAAATGGATAAATGGTCCATTTTGTCTAAATGAATGAAAAATAAAACCCTAAGAACTAAGATTGTTTTTAATGCTAAAGTAAATTTAGGCATCATAAGATTTAACTACATTATGTTTTTCTAGGCTTGATTGTGTTTTTGGGGTGCAGTCTAACATGTGTTAATGCTTCGTTTTTTCTTCGTTCTTCGTTTTTATTCCACACCGCTCTGTCCCTTCTCTGAGAAACGGGCTGACCATTTCCTTCTTTTATGAAGCCCCTCCCTCAGAAATACGCGATGGGCTCTGATTGGTTAGCTAGCCCAGTGTGTTGTGATTGACTAAACTGCCTCTAGTGCGCGTCTGAACGTCCCGCCCTTTTATGTGCACCTCTAGTTTTCTCTTCCTCTTCTCTAAAGCAGTGCAGCATGGCCTCGCCTCCTTTGCTGCCTTTTCCCGAGGGTGGGGTTTATCTGAGTTTATGATGTCACGAACCCGGGAAGTAGCTCGTTGTAGTCCCTACCAACCGTTTTTGTAGGCATTAAACTGCCAGAATTTTAAAAGGCTATATCTCCGTTTGCATTGAACTTTCAGCTTTGTAACTTTGCAGATATTGTTTATGCTCAAGCAGCAACATTAGACACTAACTAAAGTTAAAAAAAGTGAAATCGCAATGAACCACCCCTTTAATAGATCACCAACGTGATTCTATTCCTAAATTACAATGATTCGTCTGTTTCATTCTTCAACCTTTGACGTGTGCGATCAATGTTGTGATCACTTCTTGGTTCGTCCGTGCAGAGCACGATTACACCAGTGTGATTTGAACATTTAAATTTGCGTTCGCGCTGCCATTGACCTAAAGAGAGCAGCACAGTCTTTTCAGCCACACAGTATCATTATTTCTGTGTTACAAACATTCAAATCACAGAAGTACTGGGATAAAAGTTTATAGTTCAGATATAAACTGTGTGTACGATGTGTATGGTAGCGATTAAAATAGAATAAATCACCTTTTGAAAATAATTTGACGCTTCAAATGAAGATGATCGATTTACATTGTTACGCCAGTAGGTGGCGAAAAGGG